CCCCACCTTGAATGAAACTTTCCATCACATCAACCATGTCAACCGAATTGAACAGTGGAAGTAGAAGATGCTTGGTGACGCGTCCTATGCCACAGCCACAATCCACCGCTTTCTCATAGTTCGTCAGCAGCTTCTAAAAAAGCAAAAATATGATAATTTGCATCTTTTTTGTTTCAGGGCAAAATACAGTGAAACAAACAACCTACATCTGAACACAGTTTTTCAAACTTTTAAACCAAAAAAAATTATATTTTAAGCTTTTTTGAACTGATTTTCTGTTCCTGACCTTCTAACTTTCCGTGCAATCGCTCGGCTGAAGTGAGACATTCTTTATGTGTCAAGGCATTCATTTAATGAAAAATACTGCAGTTTCGGTGTGGCTTAAGCGATATTTTCAAGGAAATGCATGTCAGAAAAAAACAGCTGAGATGATCAGACGGTGAAGGACAGGAAGGCGAAGCTATTCTATCCGTGCAACATTAAATAAGCACAAGAAAAAGGGGTTCAGTGTGACCGAAGGAACCAACTTCTATGCAAAAAGTGCGAATTATATGGATGAGAGAGGCAGAAAACGGGAAATCGAGAATTTGCGAGTAGTGCTAACAGTGAAAAGAAAAGCTAGTCGAAAAATCAGTGTGAAATCTCTCATATGCCCAATCACAGAGGAAAATATGCGCTGGCATTACAAGGAAAAAGAAGAGCATTTTGCGAAGTAATGAAAATAACAACAAAAACAAACCTTAGTTTTCAAATGTTGCACAAATTTCCTGGAATCAAGAATGTCCGGCCAATGGAGATGCGCAAATCCTCCAAGCATACCATCCACATCACACGATACTGATGCCCAGTAAGCTTCGGCCTGTAATTAAAACATATCAAAAATACTGTAAAATTTTCAGGACTTTCTGAGAATTGTCCATTCCTTGCTTTTGTCTCTTTTGATCACATAATTCATAGGAAACGTGGGAAAAATTAAAGAAAAAGTCCAAAAAAAACGATTTTTCTTCTCTTTTCAAGCATTCTGGACAAATCAGGAACGCACAAACACAGAGAGTACTTATTCTGCTTAGATAGCAACAGCAAAACGGAGGGGAGAAGATGAATCCCGGCACTGAATTAAACCAGTTCAGTCGTTTTTCTGCGCAGCTGTGTGGTTCTGAACTGATTTCACGTTTTCTTGATCTGATAACGAAATGGACCGAGAAACTCGTAACTTTAATCTCACAGAAACATTGTTAGGCTCTTAACCCTCCCCATCCCTGCTTGTAGAAAAACGGTGCTAAACAGAGGTCAAGTTGAAGCCCAAAAATCGAATTCATCAAGGAAAGTGCGTCAGTGATGACGGAAAAAATCCAACTGATAAAATGAAACCGCCCGGAAATTTTACGGAATGGTAAATGCGATAATCTGAAAATTTTCGGGTGCATAATTCATAGATAAATGAGGAATCCGAAGTGCTGCGAAAAGCTATGGGTTTAAGGCTCTTTCAAATCTCAAAAAAATAAAATTTCGGACATTCGAAACGCACTGGTAGAGAGCTACTCAAAATTCCATTTAAAATAAACAGAGGCACACACCAGCGCAGCCGG